CGTCTTATTCAATGATGCGCGCGTATATTTTTGCCGCGATCGTTTTTCATTGCGAGGCGCAAAGTCCCGCGGAAAATCGCGAATCCCGATGCTGCTTTATCGACGGCGAAGCAGAAATCGGCGAGGAATTCTGCGCGAAGACAACTAGAGGACTCAAAGAGACATTTCCGCTGCAGCCTTGACGTAGTTTGAATGACGATAAAAGTGCATGACAAAAATTGCAAATTCGCCCGAAAAAAGTTACGCGTCAACAAATACCGAAACAAAATAGGCTGTAGGTTTCTCTCTCTCTCTCTCTCTCTCTCTCTCTGACGAATGATTCGCTTGTGTATTTCAGTGCTATCCATTTCGCCTATATTGAGAAAAATTATAGTTATTTTTGACCTCAGTTATGCTCTTTTTATCATTTTAATCACAAAAATAATAGTAGTAACATGCATATAAGATTATTATTATCACTGATTCTATAATAACATTTATTAGAAATGTAGTTTTCCTGACAATAACTTTTGCTGTAATGATTGTAGTTACAAATACTAAATATTTTTCTCTCAGTACACCCGATATCGACACTTTCAGCATTATCCGAGGTACAGTCGGGATATAATATATGCTGTGTTATTCCACATCATTGGATAAAAAATTACACGCGATTTTCAGCCTTATACGTATATATATAAAATAAAAATTGTTATAATTAAAGCCATTATAATTACAGCACTGTCATTATATAATTATAATTATTTATGAGATTTCCAATCTTATACCTACATATAAAGTTAGAGATCGTGTGATTTTCCGAGAGAACGGTAGAGAACGGTACAACATACATGACGTCGACTGTAACCGGGTAACCTAAATTTCGGAGATACCCGGATAACCGAGGTTAATTTTAGACGTTACAAATTATTGATTTTATAACGATAACAAATAATAAATGAATGTATTGTAAATTCGTACTATAATTTACTAATTATAGTACAAGTAACTATATGCTCGTTGCTATTTTCCGGTTACCGAAGTAATATTTATAAATATGGATGCTCCAGATACACGGTTTATACTGACAGCACTAATACATACACTAGGTTTCCAACAATTTGCACCCTTTTTCCTCGACGCATTTTCGAACGCAGCCGATAGTTCAACGAGGGAACTTAACTTCTGGGAATCAATCAAAAAGGAGTTCTCTCACTTCATCATCCCATCGGCTGTACGTTCTGAATTGCATAGGAAAAAAGAAAGAAAGTGCTCAAATCGTTTTGAAAGCCAATGTATACACGGTAGGTCAGTTCCGCGTGTTTGACATCTTCAAAAAGGAAGACGGACGTATTCCCATTCACCTTCGCGTGACAGTCTCGCCTGGTTAATCCGGCATTTATGCGCGCAAATATGTGTAATCTCGAGCGGCGAGACAACGTCGGAGAGATAAAGTCATGAAGATCTCGTAGAATCGTCATAAATCCGTTGACGAAGGACTCGATTCTTTTTTTCTTTCCGGCTGCGTCCGGCGTACGCAGCGAGTTCCCCAGGCTAAACTCCAGCTTTCCGACGTGTGCTCCGACAGATAAGACGCGATCTTATCTCCCGACTGGATTTTACGACTTCATTACCGAGGCGTCTCAATTAACGCGTCAGAAAGCTGGAAATTACGAGCAACAGCGACGTCCGCTTGAATCTCGAATCCCTCGGCAGGAGATAAATATCACGTCGTTTGTCAGATACGTACAGTCCCATTGCCAATACAATCGTACGATTTAACGATTCTTTTTGAGCGGTCGCTGCGCAACGACGTGTGCATCGACCTGCTCTCTCGTAGCAAACGCGTCACCCACGAATGCATCGGCGAGAAACAGGAGGCATTGACCTCCATTACCGAATTCGGCGAACGTGTGTGTGCGCGCGCGTGAATTCGCTTCATCAAAGACTTTCGTTTTCGCGACACAAACTATCTCGGGATGTAGGAATCCCGATGGGAATTGCGCTGAGAAAAAAGTGCGGCCGATACTCGTGACTCTATAATTGCGTAATGAAATAATTAATATAAATGTTTTATACGAAATTTTATACGAAATAATTATATTATATCAAAAAATCATATTTTGTACATTCTAAAAAGATAAGAGAAAAAGAGGGAGAATGTAAAATTCAGGGAATTATAAAATCTTTTTCCTGAATTCTTTTTTATCGTTGACACTATAGTGATGCTTATAGAAAAATTATTTTTTTAAATTATAATTCTTTTATTTATGCGATTATATAGTTACAAATACCAAACATTTTTTTCTCAGCATGTATATATGAATGCAAAGTCAATCGAATTTGAATGATTCTCGGCTGTCATTTTGCTTTGTAAGGAGATTTTCTCTAAAAAAAATCTAGAGTTGCTATTATAATGATAATGACAATTAACATGTATATTGCTATTTTTCTGTTAGGTCAACAAAAGGACATTAATGTCGCCGAGAGTGATTGTAATTTTCGACTTAAAACGGCCGAGATTAACGATTTTTTTCTTTCCACGTGCAGCGACCGAAAGGAAGACGCTCTCGCGTCGACATTTTCCGACGTTCTCCGACATTCCCCGGCCGCTTTCCACGTCGGAAGATTAATGATGCGCTGCGGTAATAGATACGCATTAGAAATTTATCACCTCCAAAAAGAAGAGGGGCCGATTGGGAAACGTGCCGCGTGCCGTTTCGCCACCCAGCGAGTGATTCACCGGCGTTAGTGGCGACGCTTAAATCCCGTTACGTAAGCGCCGTCATTCATCGTCGGTTTAAAAGCATTGTTTTACGGGGGCGCCTCGCGCGAAGTGATAAAGCGAGCTTGGATTTCCACGGTCGAAATTTTCTCGCGTTCACGGAGCCGCGGAAAAGCACGGCATTTTCGCTCTCTATTCACGTCGCCGTGATAAAATTATCATTATTGTCGTCATTCACGCGTTGACTGCCATTGGAAGCCACCGATGGGCCAGCGCTACGACACCGTGTTTCATTAATTCACGTATAAGACGCAACCAACTGCACAAAACAAATTAAACATCGGGTCAATGAGAAAGTTTGCTTTCTCTTTTAAGTCGAGGTTGACTTTATAGGATGTAATAGAAACGGATTATTCATCAATCAAGTAATTAATAGTTATGAATGAACTTATGAATAAAACATTTCTGAATAAATGTAGTTCTAATGGAGAGGAAGGAAAAGAAGAAGAATAGGTGGTACGAGATGTGAAGCAAAAAGACGAAGCGAGCAAAATAATTCTTCGAAAAGATCTCATGAATGGACGTTGACATCTCTTTAATTGTTACACGCCACAGTGAAGAAAGGCTCGCAAATAACGTCACGACGTTCCAGTTCGGCCGCGAATTTTCACGTATTTCGCTACGTCCACACAGTAGACGCCCTTACGTATCTTGTTCATTTTGAATAGAGCGAAATATTTAACAAGATGTGTCAAAACACCTCGGCGAACCGCTCGGCTCTCCTGCGCGACGCGTTTGAAAAATGTGTAAACCACCGTCGCTGCTGCTCTCTCGCGTGCATCCAAGCTTTCAATTATTCGCTTCCTCGGGAAAATAGCCGAGGAACAGGGCGGCTTGCGCGCGCGATCACTCTGTCGCCCGGTCAGGATAAATGATAAATTACTTTGCGTATATTCGGCTTGCGTGGCGTAACGCGGCGTCCGTCAAGGCTCCGCGGATTTGTTACACGTTGGCTGAATTTATAACGCGCGCGAGGTAACGAAAATTCGCATTACAGGATCAGCGGGTCAATGGAACGGCGCGGCGAAAACGCACGCCGTATTAGGTGATACCGCGCTGCTCCGCCGACACTGAGAAAAATTTATGATCGACTTAGCGAAGAGAATTTTTATTCCACCTCCGACACGCGAAGGATAATCCTCTGTTATCAAACAACGTGTTCGCGTTACGAGATTTGTCTTGTTGCCTTTAACATTTTAAATGAAACTCTCTCTCTCTCTCTCTCTTTCTCATTCCTCTCTATTTCTCTTTTCTTTCAAAATTGCATGGCACACGTATCGAGTTTTGGATTTAATCATAATTTGTAAAACTTTCGGGCTTTAAGAGTCTAACTTAATTTTTCCAAGTAGCCTTTCACGCGATTCTCTCCGCGAATTTTCCGAAGTAATTCTTTCAGTTTCAACACATAATCGCGTCAACACTATCTTGGCGGTGAGCTGATATCTAGAATTTCATCGGCCTTCGGCAAATGCATGCTTGCAACACGTGCTTACCTTGTGGATTCCGAAGGCAGACTGGTGAAGAACGTACGAGTATGTGTAAATTTGATTTCTCAACAAAGAATCAATTTTAAATATTGGAATATTTAGAGAAAAAATAGATCGATTTTGGCCCGGAGTGGCACGTAAAAGCAGTATGTTCTTTTGTAGTTTCTGAACTGCTGAATCTAATTACGACCTTAAAAAAATTTTAATTTGTCGGATTTTTACTTACGACTCCCAGGGCTAAAATCGACCCATTTTATCCATCCTTTATATCGCGAACGTTTAATTCAATTTCAAATAGTTAAATTTTTTATCGAACATTTACTCCATAGCTCGTTATTATATTTTTTCTTTCTTTTGTAAGAAATAGCATGATTCAATGTGCGAGCTTGAACAAAATGAAAAGTTCAGGGATTTGAGGAAAAGAAGGTCTCAAAAGTGATTCTCCTCGGTGATGTTCCGACGCGCGTTATTCGATTTTCGCTGGTCGAAGCCAGAGGAAATTCTCGCGAGCACGAATGTCACATCGAGGGTCATTATGCCGCCGCTTTTGCGGTCATCGTGCCTCCCGCCCCACTATCAGCCTCATCGAAAATGTTGCAACGCGCGCGCCTGTGTGTGTCAATGCGCCCGCCAGAAACCTATCAATGAGAGGGAGGTCCTCGTACCCGCGGCAAGGTTTCGGTGGCGCTATATAAAAGCGCCTCCCGAATTTCGGTGTTACAGAGAGACAAACACTCGTGATCAGCATCATGAATACCTCGGTGAGTCTGCGGCTCGGTAAAATTACTCGATCACTGCCTCACGTGGTTATCCACCTTCGAATATTTTAGAACTAACAGAAATCCGGACAAGTATCATTATAAACAAACTCTGAGATGTACAACTGAAGAGAGATGGATTTGAATTAGAAGATCTTCGGACGCTTCTTTAACATTAAAGAAAGTTGTTTTACGTATCCGAGACATTAATTTTTCTAGCCACAGATTATTAAAAAGACAAACATACAAAGGAAGGAAGAGAAGAAGACGATCGTACTGAAGTAAACGAACGCGAGTACACAAAATAAATATTAGCATCAGTGCCAGACTGATATATTCTTCAATCTTGAATCGATAATAATTCTATTTTCCCTATAAGATCCGAACGAAATTCAAACTTTGCTTCAGCTAAGATGTCACAAGTCCCGCATTATATTGATTGCCGTAGTTCCGGAAAATTTTTTTCGTCCTATGTTGACCGCGCAAAATTTCTTGCAGACCGTCGCCCTTCTCTGCGTATTCGCGGTTGTCGCGTTCGCAGCACCACCGGCGAGACAATCGAAGGACGAGCCGATAGCTATCCTGGCCTACAATTTCGACGGACCGTACCCGGACGGTTCGTACAGCTACAGCTATTCGACCGGAAACGGCATACAGGCGCAAGAACAAGGCCAGCTGGCGAAGATCACGAATGACGAGGACGCTCTTCGCGTTCAAGGCTCCTTCAGCTACGTCGACGCCGACGGCAACCCCATTGCCCTGAGCTACGTCGCTGACGAGAACGGCTTCCAACCGAAAGGCGATCACCTGCCGACTCCGCCTCCGGTGCCCGCTGACATCCTGAAGGCTCTGGAGTATATTGCCGCGCATCCCGAGGAAGATAATCTGTGAAAGTGACATACGGCTCGGCGTATCGTTCCAACTGAAATCACACGCGTGTAGGGTCAGTCGAAACAATTCGTTTCGACCTTTGAGTCGAATTTGCCTCGATCACGTTCGATGGACACACGAAAAAAAAAACCAATTCCGCCGGTTGTAACTGAATTTTCCGTTGCCTGGGGACCGGACGAAAACTCGGTTGTACGGGAACAGAAAGATTCCTGCAGGAGGTTTCTGCTCAGTCAATTGCTCTCTCAGTTGTCCCAATTGAGTTTCAATGCAGCCGAATGTTCACACGAATGTTCTCAGGCGCGATGACAGAGATATTATTTCCCATCCCTGAGTTTTCATTTCTCGTGACCGAGTTTTCATCTGGCCCGCCATTCAGTTGCAGCTACTGAGATTTTTTTCCGTGCACAAATCGTACATCGTAGTCGTATCATCATCTGAATTAACAAATTAAACTCCGATCACTCTACACTCACGACCAAGGAATTAGAGAATAGTGTTGGAGTAGAACCTTAGTCGGTATTCAAATAGTCAATTATTGTGAAAAAAAAATAAAAATAAGAAGAGAAAGAAAAATCAAGCCGCCGTCGTATTGTTTGTAATCCTTCGTTGCCTGATCTACACCTATGAGACATCATCCGATGAAAATCAAACCGAACTTTTTAACTGAATCGACGTAGCGATCGTTAGTATAAATAATTCGTGAAAGAGAGAGAGAGAGAGAGAAAGAGAAAGATTTCTACACTGAGAGAAATTGTAATTATTTTTGACCTGAACTACTATACTTTTTATGACCATAAAATAGCATTAATATTATACACATAAAATAGCATTAATATTATACACATAAGGTTATTATCACTGACACTATGATAACATTTACTAGAAAAATAGTTCCGATCATAATACTTTCACTATGATGATTATAGTTGCAAATACCAAATAATTTTCTCTCAGAGTAGGCGAAATACGAAAGACAAGGCACAATTTATTTCGACGAAAAGTTAGAGGGCTGGGAAGAAAAGAGGAAAACGAACCTCCATAGCGCTCTGAATGTCATTTCTTTCACCTCTTTGAAGATTTCGCTTGAAAATTCGATGTCCGTAATATTCAGGCACCGATATCGCCATAGTGCGCGCCTCGAGTTCCGGAATTCAAATCGGAAATTTAATCTCACGGAGATTACGCCGATTATGACTTCGGGAGATTTTATATTCTTGCGTCTGCAAGTTCCACAAACTCACATGATTCGAAACTGAAGTTCGCTCGTTGCACGCAAGAGAGGCAGAAAGGGAGAAACCGAGCAACGTTCCATGGGTGCCGCACAGCTCCGAGTTAGTATAGTCAATTAGTACCTACTGTGTTAATTAAGGAGAGCCTCGTGGCGCATGTATTATGTATGGAGCCGCTGCGACGGCAACGTTTATATTAAACGCTGCTGAACTCGACGAAATAAATTTCGACCGTACGCCCAGTCAGTCATGCGTTCCTTCCACGATTAAAATTTACCTGACCGTCGAGCCGTAAACACGTCACGGATGTCCCGTTCATTAAAACGTATCAAATCGCTCGTGATTTGAATATGTCGCCGCGCGAAGCGACCGGGTGGGCTAGCGAGAGAACGAGTGAGATTGTACGAATAACGCGGGACTATATTTAACGAACATCACGTGTAGATGACGCAATAATGGTCGCGGAACACGATGAAATAGCGTGACATTGGCCCAAATTGCTGTCGCTAACGAGCGTTTTGAATTTTCCCATGAATAAGCTTGTCTTGAAAATCCGATTCTGTGTTTTTGGCCAGGTGTGTATGGTTTTTTTCGTTCATTTTTTATATTTTTAACATTTCATATTTTTTACGACTATATTTCATCTTTCTACACTTTTAATCGCTACGCTCAGTGATATCCCGAAGCGAAGTCGGAGGCGGGGATGAATCGGACGATATCGAATTGGCATCCTCTTCTTCCAAATCTCGCGCGCAAGACGCGCGCAAAAATGATTACGCTACATTTTTATGCGATCGTGTGTATGCGTTATTTCGTCTGGCAGCATCCTCGGGAGTAGATTTTCGCAATCCCGGCTGAAAAATAGCGGCGTGCGAGCAATCTCCCCGGGAACGGAGCACGTGCTAATCCAAAACGCGACACAATCCCGGCGGGCGTGCTGTGGCACGTAGTATCCGCGCGCGGAGATACACAAAAGACGTGCGATTTAAATAAGATAAATGCTTGCCATCTTACGCGGCGGGACGTGCTGCGGGTATAAAAACGAGAATTACGACGTCGCATTAGCCGGTGTCCGACATACGTTACATTCGGGAGCTCGCGATACGTTGCGTCCGAGAGGGAGGATAATACGCGCGGCGCCGCGGATTCACGCGGATCCGAATGTCGAAAAAGAAGAAAAGCCCGGCGTCCGCCTTAAAAGTACATCCGCAAAAATCGCGCATAACCGTCACGTCGATCCATGAACCACCAGGCGTCCACATTTGTATCCGCATTAATAGCAACGTAAAATACGACGCTGCGTTAATTAAACGAGCGTCACGCGATTACAAATTGCTCGCGGTGGTCCTTGAGAGAAGACGGAGCGAGAGAAGGAAAGAGGGAGACACAGAGAGAGAGAGAGACAGAGAAACTAATTTATTCTTCGGGTGTTTTCCATATTCAACGTATACCTTGCGGTCGGAACGATTAAATTGCTTGTTTGTCAGTAATACTGCGTTTCGAGGAATCCGGCTATGGATAATAGGACGAAATTGCGTGGCGGAAAGACTAGCTCGCTCTTCTCTCTCTCTCTCTCTCTCTCTCTCTCTCTCTCTCTCTCTCTACTTAAATCGAAAATATTTTTCGCCCGAGACAAGCCTCTTCAATCTCGGACGGACGTCTTTCCCTTCGTAAATCACCGAAACCCGGCGCGTATTTTAAGGAATCCATGCGCCAGACGAGGAAAATGCGGCGTTTCCTCGACCCACTTTCAGGCTACTTTATGGCGAATTCGGTTACTCACGTTGCACCTGTATTATACGATCCACCTCTCATCCTTATCGTTTGTTTTTTACACCGTATATCTGATGTAACTATATTCTGAAAATATTTTTAAAAATGTTTATAGATAATAAATCGAACATAGCTGCAGTATCGTAGGAATATCGACGAAATAATTAGCTTCGCTCTTTTTTGTTGAATTTCACGGAATTCCTTTTTATCCTTGTCCCGTATCCTTTGCCCCGCATTCGTACTCGGTTGCTCAGTAGCGATCGAAGTCGCCTACATCTCGTACCTACAAGCCCGTACCCCGCGATATCCGCGCGGGAATCTGCATACGAGTCTCGCAATCAACGGATGCAACGATTGGATGCACCTCGAAATATCTAATCGCTGGCTCGGTCATCGTAGATCTCCCGCGCTGCCGCCGCGGGATCACGCCCCGGCCGCATTACTGTTTCTGATTGACAGTGCTCAGATATGCTAGGATGACCGACGCGTTTCGGCTACCGTGCGCTTATTTAAAAAAACTCCTCCCCGAGTCGGAATTTCGGTTCCACTTTTACCCTGCAAATTCCGCCGAATTTGAAAGACCGATGATGAATACCTCGATATGTAACGCTACACAGGCTGTTGTCTAACCTTGATGCTTAAATAAACATTTTATTTAATATTCCATTATTTAATATTCCATTACCTGAATACTCTGTCTGCGTTCGTTCGATCTTTGTTCTTAATTTAAATATTCGGATCCTTCGGTCAATGTTATTTTCGTGTGCTACATTACGTTTCGAGCCGGCAAGTGATCCGCGTACCACGTAGAAAAAACAATTTCGTTCGTGCAACTGAATCTTCCGTTGCCTGGGGGCCAGACGGATGCTCGGTTATAAGCAAATTCCTTTAGGAGGTTTCTGCTCTCTTCACAGTTACCAGTTGTCTCGGCCAAGTTTTAATGCAACTCAATGTTCACACGAATGTGCTCAGTCACGGTAACAGAAACGCTAATTTCTCGTCACTGAATTTTCATTTCTCGTCACCAAGTTTTCGTCCGGTCCCTATTCGATTGCAGCAACTGAGTTTCTTCTCCGTGCACGCGGCACACGTGTCGGTGAGATATTTATCGTTTCCCGCACGCAATTAAAATATTTCATCAAATCTCGGAATATTTAATCGAATTCTTATCGGTGTCGCGTTAATTGATATGCGTGTTTTCGATCGAACTTATCCACGCGAGTGTCAGTGTTAGTGAGTGTCCGTGACACTGGATGTCACGGAGCAGCCAGAGGCAAAATGCTGTATCAGATTAAGACGGAGGACTTCAGGATGTGTCCGGTGTCGTGTATTTGAAGGTATGTGAAATATTGTACAAGAGATATCCTGTTTTAATGGACGTAATTGCCGAGAATAGAGAGACATCCGAATCGAAATTTCGGCCGGCTTTCGTGGTCTATTATTTTGTGAAATAATATAACTATAACTTTATGAATCTCTGATTATTTATCGATTTATGCGTGAATCTGTTTCAATACAATAAGAGAAATTAATCCAATTGCCGAGTAATGGTCTACGGGTAGGAATCGATAATTAAATAGCTCTCGATTAGTGATCATAAATGGTTTGCAACTATGAACGTTAAATAATAATTCTGATAAATAAACTAAAATGAATAATTCCGAAATCATTTTGAAAGCCTCAAATATCAGAATTCCGAAATAAATATTTAAGGTTCGAGAGGACTCGTGGGGAGAACAGTAACAAGCCAATTACTCATCATCTAGGTCGGTCAATAGCTTGTATAGTGTGCGATATGTCTCCAAAATTCTTCATTGGTCCTTCAAGTTTGACGAAATTTATAGTAACAATGTAGAACCAAATTTCGACTCGGAATCGCTCGAAATTGACGCGTACTCGTGCACGTTGCCCGAATGAACTCGAAAGAACAAAGTAGACATTTTACGATGAGGAACGATTGCTTCTTTTACCGTAGAATAACTTTAAGCCCCCGAAATG